GCCTGTATCAATAACACATTCTCTTAATACTATAATACTAAATAACCATATTAAAAATAACATAAAATACAACTAGTATCAGTAACACACCTCTTCTTATAATAATACTAAATAACCATACTGAAAATAACATAAAATACAGCCTGTATCAGTAACACACCTCTTATTATAACACTAAATTACAACACTGAAAATAACATAAAATATAGCCAGTATCAATAACATACCTCTTCTTATAATAATACTAAATAACCACACTGAAAATAACATAAAATACAGCCAGTATCATTAGCAAACCTCTTCTTATAATAATACTAAATAACCATACTGAAAATAACATAAAATACAGCCTGTATCAATAACACATCTCTTGTTATAATAATACTAAATAACCATACTGAAAATAACATAAAATTCAGCCAGTATCAATAGCACATCTCTTAATACTGTAATACTAAATTACAACACTGAAAATAACATAAAATACAGCCAGTATCAATAACACATCTCTTAATACTGTAATACTAAATAACCATACTGTAAATAACATAAAATACAGCCAGTATCAATAACACATCTCTTAATACTATAATACTAAATAACCATACTGAAAATAACATAAAATACAGCCTGTATCAATAACACATCTCTTAATACTATAATACTAAATAACCACACTGAAAATAACATAAAATACAGACAGTATCAATAACACATCTCTTAATATTATAATACTAAATAACCACACTGAAAATAACATAAAATACAGCCTGTATCAATAACACATCTCTTAATACTATAATACTAAATAACCATATTAAAAATAACATAAAATACAACTAGTATCAGTAACACACCTCTTCTTATAATAATACTAAATAACCATACTGAAAATAACATAAAATACAGCCTGTATCAGTAACACACCTCTTATTATAACACTAAATTACAACACTGAAAATAACATAAAATTCAGCCAGTATCTGTAACACACCTCTTATTATCATAACACTAAATAACCACACTGAAAATAACATAAAATACAGCCAGTATCAATAATACATCTCTTAATATTATAATACTAAATAACCACACTGAAAATAACATAAAATATAGTCAGTATCAATAATACATCTCTTAATATTATAATACTAAATAACCACACTGAAAATAACATAAAATACAGCCAGTATCAATAATACATCTCTTAATATTATAATACTAAATAACCATACTGAAAATAACATAAAATATAGCCAGTATCATTAGCACACCTCTTATCATAACACTAAATAACCATACTGAAAATAACATAAAATACAGCCAGTATCATTAGCACACCTCTTATTATAATAATACTAAATAACCATACTGAAAATAACATAAAATACAGCCAGTATCAGTAATACACCTCTTATTATAATAATACTAAATAACCACACTGAAAATAACATAAAATATAGCCAGTATCATTAGCACACCTCTTATCATAACACTAAATAACAACACTGAAAATAACATAAAATACAGCTAGTATTAGTAACACACCTATTATTATTATAACACTAAATAACAACACTGAAAATAAAATAAAATACAGCCAGTATTAGTAACACATCACTAAATCAAATGATTTTGTTCTAAATAGAATCAATGGTGGTAGTTTTTATCATGTCTAAAGTCAGTCTAAAGGATTGATCCAGATTAAAGCCAAGAAAAAATATTTATAGTTTACCTGGTATCAAGCTGACTTTTGCTAAACAAAAACTAATAACAAACACTAATAATTTATCAGCTAAGGGATCAAGATGTGTACCAAATGCTGTTTTCTGGCTTGGAAAGGCTCGAGCTATGTGGCCATCTAACTGAAAAAAAAATATAACATGTGAACGTGAAAAGCTGCATGAACATTTAACAGTATGCAGATATAAATATTAGACTAAAACAATCGTCCAATACCCTTCTATTTTTATTTATCGGCAATAACAGAATTGGTTAGAGTGTGGAATGACAAACAAATGGTGGTCATGGGTTCTAATCTGTCATCATGTTAAAGTCTGGTGACCTAATATAAGTCATCATTCCTCTTATTCCAATCGACCCTGAACTGCGTTGATGGGCAACATTCATCCAGGAAAGATCATTGCCAACAGGATTGGGCCAAGAATTCTCTTGGATCCTAATTTGTGATCCTTATTTTCTTTAACAGAAAGCCACAGACTGGACAAATTGCTTCAAGCTTGCTGAGAAATCATTATTCTTAAGAAATAAAAACCCATTAACATACCACATCAGTTATACCAGCAATAACTAACAGACCTAAAGACAATTGATAGGAATGACTGGTTATCAGATAGCCTAATATAGGAGTAGAACCTATTCTGAACATGGTTAATAAATTAGGTATGGTATATATATTTTCTTTCTGAAAAATAATTAGTTTCCATAATTAATGATATCTACTTAAGTAAACTTGGTCCCAAATATATATAATTCTCTAGTCCAAATTTTGGCCTTTTTTTCTCTGCTTCAACACATATTGACCGCTAATAAACATGTCAGTTTAATGCTTAAGCTGCAGACAAGACTGGGCGAATTTTCACAGCGAATGGTTTGGACAAGTCAATCCCCAGTGTATCCAGTGCTACAACATTTTGTCCGACCATCGGCTGAAACCATTCGCCAACATCAAGCATGTTGTCATTAATCGCCCCATTAATCGCTCTTGTCTCGTGTCCACGCCCTGCAACCACTCTAGCAAAGTCTATTGTGAACTTTCCAATGACACAACCAACAAAATGGCAACCTCCAGTGATGTAATGTGTAGTGCAGAAAAGAAATAGGAATTAATTATGTTATGGGAGTCAAAGCCCAACTTATACGATATAAGCAAATGCCACTCTTCGCTTCTTTCTGGACACCAGAGCATGCGTAATATAATTTGCAGACGAGTTATCCACTCAGGTATTCACACAGTGTGTCCACTGCATCGGCTGAATGAATTCAACGGTGAATAGTTCCGCAAAGTACCAGCTAATAAAATTCGCCCAGTCTGTTCTTAGCTTTATGCATATATAAGCCAAATGCTGAAATATTCAAAACTAGTCATATGTACAAAAGTTTACTTTATTTGACATAAATGACAGAATTTAACACTTGCAAGGATAAATTGCAATAGGAATGATGAAAACTTTCCACAATGACCATAGCCTGCCATGTTCAGAAGTGAGCTGATAAATAATGAATTGCCATTTAACCCATCTGGTAGGATGTGTGACTGAAACTACCTCGTTATTTTTATAACTGTTTATGTCAACATTTCAGTAAAAGCCCAGTAGCATATTCAGGGGAAGGGTCAATAGGCCCTTGGTGCCTCACCTTTAATTTATGGACCCCTTTCCGACATTTCTTGATACGCTCCTGCAAGTGCCATAAATAATGGGGTGTAGGTCACTTATTTAATGAATATATTGACTAGTATTTGTTTTGGCCAAGTGGAAGTCGACAATAATCATCACACCCCTGTAAAGTTAGATGGTGGATTCAATTTAAAAGCTTGTGACCCTCCGTGGCTTGAGATGAAAAATAGAGATTATCAAAGTAGAGATTAATATTGAGTTTACAATGTGACAAAATAACACTTACATATTCTTTTGGCTCTTTGTCTGCTGCATCAGAGAAACAAACAGAGCCTAACTTACATCTTCTGTCCAGTTGGGATGGCTTTAAAATTCTATATTCTTTGTTTGAGTGATTGTATGAATTAGAGCCATGGCCATAAAAACTATATAATTGTCTGTTACATGTGGCAGTTGCAATTCCATATTTCTTTAATGCAACTATATTGTCAAAGCTCCTAAAACTGCTTTGCCAGATAAATGCTTCAGGAGATGTTGAAAAAGAGCATTTGCATTGGAATACTCTTGGATTTGACGGTGACAACGATAAGTCTTTCTTATACAGATCACAAGCATCAAATTTAACGAGTCTTGAATGTTTTGCCTCAGAAATGAAACGAGAAATAAGTTTTAAACTACTCATGATGAAAATAGTCTATATCTTGAATATGACCTTGACCCTTGCATGGGAAATCCATGTTGACCTACAAAACACAAATAGACCAAGATTCATTTTCAAACAAACTTTACAAACTGAAAACATGACATTGAAGCTCTAGTCCATTCAACGAAGCATAAAACTATCAAACAATCCGATGGCAATAGTCAAAATTGTCGTTTTTCATGTAAATATCACATTCAGGTAAATATTTATGGGGGCTGCCATATTGGGTGATCACGTGGGATATCAACGTCATATCGGGTTTTGTCAATTCGCCAAACGTGTCAAACCGGACAAACTTTTGCCAAACCGCACATTTCTTCATGACAAACTGATGCTGTAAAATCTCTTCTCCCTGGTCTTGGTTCCAAAGTTTTGTTTACAGATCGAATATGTTATAACACCAAATCTGGACCGATAACCACGAAGTTACATTATCCAAACGTTTCTGGCAATAACGCTGTTAAGGTCGAAAATTGGTGGAGAGGAATGATAAAGCAGATTCAAGAAAGACAAACAAACTTTTGACTTTTAAAAAGGCTTACATGGATAATCCTTGCCAAGGACCAGCTGATCAATAGGGTTATCGTGAAACCTAGCTGTTGTCGTGGACACCGAGTAATAATCTGACGACAATATGACCCATCTGCGAATATTCTACCATGGGCAATGGGCATTCGCTACAATGACGAATTTACAATGAACACAAGACCAATATGTCCACCAGTAGGCAGTTTGATAAACACGTTTGTATATTCTGTGGTTAAAATGACATAGCATTTTGGCTGTAAATACGTACGTATCTTTTATCTTAAAACAAAAATTACTTTCAGTTTAACTCATAATTTAGCCAATATAGGATATATATTTACTTATAACAAGTATACTAAGCTAATATCATTGAATTAGGTTGAAGTGATGTTAAAATAAAAGCTTCAAGTGGTCGAAATCCGTCCAATGTGTTAATTTACTACCAGGAAGTTAGCCTATTAAAATAAAACTCTATATTCGGGTCATTATCTCATTAATTGTGTCATCCTGTCCTATATTAAAGATTCTGGTATCTTTTATAAAGTTTGTCTATCTTATCTTTGATCAATTTTGTTCAAAGGTCAAATCTTTACGCGACCAAAATGGCAGAGTACCAGTAGTTTTCATACACATTTTGGACAGACTTGTGCAATTGGATCACATTTTAAAATCTTTTTCTGATAAACTTTAGGAATGGTGAAACTAACACGACCAGGTTTGATTCAACTTTTTAGTTTTCAATCTGACTTTATAGAAGGCCTACATGTAGGATTTTGGCCATATTGTCAGCTGAAATTCTCATCTTTCTTCATTTTAGATACTATATAGCCACAAATAATTAGGCACTTGCCCCAATGCCACCTTTTTGAAACGACGACACAACTTTACAAAGTGTCTTTTTTTCAATTATGTGCATGGATTTTAAATCTACCCACAAACACCCTTTTGCCTAATTTGAACTTGAAAGAAAAAAACAAAAATATGCTTGGGGGGACAAATTTGTCGAGAGCAATAACCAAAACAATTTTTCATTAGAAATAGTAAATATTCCTTACATGGTACATAATTCGTGATAAATTCCCGAAGTTTAAAGATTATGTTTTTTGCAGGGCTGAATAATATTTTTCACTTCAAAAGCTGGATGAATTGTTGGATAAAATGTTTACGTGAACCAATTCAGAAGTCTGCTGTGTTAACCGATTTAATGGTGACATTCTTGTGTGTATGTTTTTTTGCCATATTTGGATATACAGTGCTGATATTACGAATACCGTCTGGAACAGTGCCGAGACCGATTCCTCAAACATCCAATAAACGTTTCCATAATGCACCAGTGTTTCGGAGAAATCCTGTAGTGCCAATGATTAACAGGCATCAGCATCGATTCGGACGGAATGACCAAGGAAACAAATTGGGAATATTTAGAAAGAACTCTCAACCTCGTGGTCGCGCTCTTTTACATCAGAGTCGTTCTTTTGTAACTCACGACATTTATTCAAAATTTGTCGATAAATTTATAGCTTCACAGAATGTCAGTCACAATAGACCTTTCCAAAATATATTTTCCAACAATATGCCAAAAATATGCCAAAATAACAACTCGCAAATAGATTTACTAATATTAATATTCAGTCACTGTGACGCTAAACAGAATCGAGATACTTTAAGGCAGACGTGGTTGACGTATTCAAATAAAAACACCGCGAATATACGATATATGTTTCTGTTAGGAGAGGGAAGTGCTAATCAAAATAGCAAATCAAAAATGGAGGCAGAAATCCACAGAGACGTTCTCTTAGGAAATTTTCAGGATACGTACACAAATTTAACGTTAAAGACAGTGATGGGTTTACAATGGGTGGTTCACATCTGTAATCAAACCAAATTTATCTTGAAAACTGATGATGACGTATGGGTCAATGTGCCAATGTTATTAAAACGCTTGGAAACTTTTAGATCCACCACTTTTACTCTTGGTGGCATGTGTCAACTTGGACGCCCACACCGAGACATGAATTCCAAATACTATGTTTCTCACAAGGACTATCCGTCCGACGTTTATCCTCCATTTTGTACCGGTACGGGCTATGTTACTACTCCGAATGTAGCTGCTAAAATCATCAACATGTCTGCAGTTGTTCCCTATTTCCATTTAGAAGATATTTATGTTGCTATGTGTTTAACTAAGCTCAGGATCAGTGTTATTTCCATTCCAGGATTTCATAATTCACGTCACGATCATTTAATTCCAAAGTGTTACTTTAAAACTAAAAATGTGCTTTTAATGCATAAATTTAATCGCACCGAACTTCAAGACATTTGGCAGGTGAGTTCAAACTGCACAAACAATAATAATAATAAACGTTTGGAACTTTTCAGAAAAAGTCCACTGGGAAATCCAAGTGGAAGGAAATCATTTAAAGGCTGGCGAGGTCCTTAAATATGCCGAGGTGCATACAAAATTCTGAAATTATTTGCAAAAAAACAAAAAACAAAAAAAACAACGTTTCAGTGGATCTGACATTACAGATTTTTTTAACATGTACACTCACAAGGAAAGTGATGTATACTGCTTTCAAGGAATGTCCTTTGTAATATACTTTGTTGATTCGATTACAATGTAATAGAAATTGGGGTCACAATTGACAATATTTCGACTAACGGCTTCAGACATAAACAGCCTTTGACGAAATTTACTGTGAATATGTATGGTCTCTTTTCAAGGGTCGTAAAGGCTTTATAAAAATTTATGTGTATCGGAGAGACTGATAATAGTGGTAGCATCAATTTGCACCAAGTCAAATTTCAAACAGATGTTTGTGATTCCTGCAATTCCACTAAAACTAAGTGTTTGATGTTATTTATTGCGAAGAACACTTAGTTTTTTGGTATTGTAGGAACCACAGACGTCTGATTGAAAATTAGAATGGCGCAGATTGATGCTATCAGTGTCTACGATGCTCATACTTTTTTTTAAGAAAACTTCTTTACAACCCCTTTAAGCCTTCAGAAATTGGCTTGCTTGCTCGATAAGGAAATCCTCATTAGACACTCTCCATCCGGTAGCATTCGATAGAACGGTCTGTCCTCTGAGTCGTGTTCCCCAAGAGTCTATTATGTTGATCTGTTATATAAAGCTAATGTATCAGGCGGAAATCAGATAGTTAAGAGACTGATTAATTTGAATTTAACAATTAATTTGTATAATTATGTATTTTCCGTTTAACAGTTGAGTGCTAATGAAACTTTCTCTAGTCTTCAATGAATTAAATACGTTCGGAAATAACATCTCTCATTCTCATAGGAAACTATTTCAATCAAAATAACATGAATATTTGATTCCATCGACTATTGGACCCCAAATGGAGTCTTCATATTTCCGTCAAAGCGTCCTAAGCAGATGTTCTGGAAGTTTTTCAGTCGACTACGATCGCATTGCTTGTTTTACTTTCATCTTTGTCGTTGTCCCAAAATCATTATTGGTGTGGGGTGGAATAACCTTGCAGTCCAGATGCAAATGATCATTTTGCCCCCATGAAAATGTCTATTACAATTTGTTCTTTTAGCCACGCAAAATAATTTTTCAGTTATAATAATTAAACTCTATATGGCGTGTTAGTGTGTTTGCCGTTTCCAAATAGAAAGTAACAAAGTGGAACTAATAACTGACCAATGGTCAGCAAATGTCTAATTTCCAATTATAGCCATACTTAGGACTTCCGTTCAATTCTTGACCACGCTACACTTCTAACCTACCCGTCACATAAAAGATCGGCAAAATCATTAACCTTTAGTCGTAGGAATAAAAAATACACTTTAATAGAGAGTAACAATAATTACTATTTGTTATTTTTTATCACGAAATATCCAGGATTGACTATGATTAAATTCTATTTTTTGCGCATAAGCCTTAATTCGTACTATGGAAATCCGCCTTCCAAATTATCGAACTAGTTGCTATATTCATAACACTTGAAACGAGCTCTTTAGTAAATTTAGTATAGATTATGTATATTGTGAGGGCCTCTCATAGGTCCGCGCTCAAGAATGTAATTCTACTGGGGCAGAGGCTGTATTAAGTTCTGCATTCTCCTATTCCAGCCTAAAAGGGTGCTACCCCGGCTCCCCACCCCAACGCTTTTACATTTCCTATCATTGTATAAAATGAATGAATTACATGTGATACCCTGTTGAGAATTGGCCCTCTCACGTAATGATACAACACCACTGCTCCATCATGTAACTAAAGGAAACCTTTTTTTTACAATATCTGTAATAGCTGAAATATGTACAGTTTGAAGAAATTAAAACTTCAAATAAAACTTAATCTTACATTGGTGTAAAATATTAGCGCTGTGAGGACAGAAATCACAAAATCTTGAAGCTCTGACCGAAGAGTAGAAATGAATACGACCACATAATATATACAAGGTATAGAACTTTTCGGCATTTTCACCAATTTATTCATTTCTCAACTGAAGCTGAAACCAACTGTTAATAACAAATTTGGTCCGTAACATGAATCCGAGATAGTACCTGACAATTTCACGCTAGTCACATACCAACACTATTACCTATCACAAAGGACAAATATTTTATTACAAACATACATACTAACTCAGTAGCCCGTAGAGAGAGATGATATAATTGGACAGACGACAGTTGGGTCTGATATTTGTCCTTCTGTGTCCTGTGTGATGTTTGGTACGTAGTCGTAGGAAGACAAGTCATGTCTTAAGATCGCCTATAGTGAACTGCGAGTGAAACTAATTCACAATTGAAAAATCATCATTATCATTATTGTAAAATTTATAACATTTCGGTATCTTGTATACCATTTTATATGCAATACAAAAACTGAAAGCGTGAAACTCTTCGTGACAACACATTAGGCATTACTATCCTCATAGAATTATATTGCATAGGACATATGTATGTGGATAGCATCATCTGCCTCGAATCTGATTAAAATGCCGGTCCAGATGTTTAGGTTCGTGTAATTTGTTTCACTGTGGTTAGGTTCTAAGCTCTGTTCAATACAAGATGTGTCAAAAAAATATAGAAAGAAACTTCTGATCTACATTTTTAATCAAATTTATAACTCCCAACCGTTCTACTGCACACAATCCCTATCAGACCCTCTTTCACATTGGTATCTTATGTGTAAGTGTCCATAGTTTTGAGGTGAGTCCTTATGGAGTACGTACTATACTTTATTGACGTCATTTAGAGGAGTTCTTAACATCCAGGGATCCCAACCATAAATAGATGGTAATGTTGATGGAGGTAAACCAGAGTACTGTAATGATGTTGGTAAATTATTGAATCCTATTGATCTGAAATATACAATTAATACATTTAAGAAGATTACGTTCCAATGGTCATACTGGTAAACTTAACGGACTTTCGTCGGGGTCCAGAAAAAAGTAAACGATGTTTCACTTCCTACTTTTTTTGTTGTGGATTGGTTAACACCAAATTTAAAAATATTGTATGTCCGTTTGATAAATGCCGGGTGTAACATTGTAATATCATTCTTTGTTAATAAAACATCATTTGCTTTTAGCTATTAAAATTTGTCCAATTTTCAAGTTCACATTCAGTTTTCAGACCCAGAGATTACCAATTAATCGGCACATACTTCCTCTGTAAATGGGTAGGAATAAAACTGGAAAAATCAATGTCAAGATTCAGCTTCAGGAAAGAAAGGATCCGCAAGATTCTGAATAGCTCATGATGAGCTTGTCAAATAATGCCGAACGGAATCATTTTCACGTAAAGGATATACAAGGCAGAGAAAAACACATTTGGCTGAAATGTTCAAGAGTTTAAGTCATTTATCGTGCGAACGACCCAGCTACAATCTTGTTGAAAGTATACCCTACCTAATATGTTGGTCAATGTGTGCTTTCTCTATTCGTTTGTCTTTAGCACGTCTGTTTTGATACCATATCTTAATCTGTGTTTCTGTTAAATTGAGATCGTCTGCAAGTTCAAGACGTCTGGTTCTAGTCACATACTCTGCTCTTCGGTATTCCATTTCTAGTTTTAACGTTTGGTCGCTACTAAATGTTGTTCGCTGACGTCTTGGTTTGTTTTCGCGTCTTTTTCTGTGGGGAACTGAAGGCAAACGATAAGAAATGAACACAAAATTACGTGAACAAAATTGTGAAATTAATACATATATTTTCTTTTCATGCCGTTTTGGCATTAAATATATACTGATTGGTATGATCTAAGAATACACCATTCACATAAACAGAGTCATTTTATATTTTCAATAGATGAAATAAAGTAAAAAAAATTCTTCCCAAATAAATTTATAGTTCACTTCATATATTGTATCTCGATAGCACCGAACCACCATTGATCGAAATTATAATAATATAAAGTGTATCTCCAACGTGAAGCAAATACATGGCATTTGAATGACCAGTAGAGCAAGTTACTATTAGTGTCTGAGAAACTGACACAATTTTGAAAAATTACCAATCAAATTAATTGACCAAACAACACTGTTTAATTATAAAAGTGTGTTTTCAATGCTTGCAGTGGTGGTGATGGTAGATGACAAGTTAACGTCCGCTTATACTAGAATCTTGTATCGCAGAGTATAATGCTGGCGGTTGATTGAGAACTATCATATACTACCCGAAGTATATATACTACTAGGCTGTAGATAAACTATGAAAAAATAGAGAATGAGAGAGTTTTAAAACTTACCGTAAGGAGTCAGTGCTAGTGAATTGGAGAACATAACAGGTCTGGCTGAGCTATAATTATTAGCATTAAGGTGATTGGTAAAATTTGACAATTTGTCCATACTTGATTCGGCTGTCATCAAATGTCCGAAATTATACTTTGAAAAATCAAGTCCCAAATATGGATGTACTTGTTTAAGAGTTGATACTTGATTCAATTTACTTGCATCTTCTGATGGTAAAAACGACGATGCTGTAAACTTCATGTTCGTTGGTGCCGTTGTTTCCATTTCACATTAATTAGATTTTGTGTTACTAAATTCCAAAATATCACTTATTAATTCAATATCATTTAATTCTGCAGTTAGGCCGCGACAAGTAACGAAGGATGCCAAATGTCATCAAATGATAATCTAAGCGTGCGCGGCTCATTTTGTATATTTTCTGCGAATGAAAATTATCGCCTGAAATCAATAAACAACAAGGAGGTCTTTTTAAACAAGATTCAATTGTTCTCACATACATAAAAGAGTCGTTTTCTTGTAATTATTGTTAGTCAGCAGTCCTAATTTCCGGTTTCCAAGAATCGTCTGCACGCGAACCAATCACGACCTCCGAACTACAACGATTTCACCAATTGACAAGGGGGCGTGCTACCTCGTTTCCGATTCTTTTCATTTTTAATAATGAGAACCTAATTATTACATTGGGAAACGATAATTGAGCGATTAAGAGATTGATGCCTAGAGCACGTGCCGACAATAAGAATCTAATTGATACTTAATAATTAATCTAATCATTTACAGTATCTTTTATCCTCAAACACAAATCGTTATCTTCACATACTCTCTAACACAAAATCTCTTTAAATAACGACGTATTGACACGAAATTAAACCAATTTACCATTATTTGATAGGAATGAATAGGGAATGAGAATACATTATAAAGAGAAAAATAAATAGCTCATAGACATGTAGCCACAAAAACAATTTGATTTTTTTCCTGTTGCAACCAAGAGCTGATTAGTTGTATCTTTTATCATTAATTATTTCAGCCCTACTGGGAAGGTGGAGGGGGGATGGGCAATATATGATTTCGGGGAAGGGAGGGTTTGATTCTCCCAAATGTACAGGCCTAGGGTGGAGCAGACACTTTATTTAGAAATCAGGATTAAGGGTCTTGATATTGGGTTTTCTTCTGTTCTTATTCTGATCTGAAATTAGAAAAAATAACTCGCCCAATGGGCGAGAAGTATAGTATCTGTTATGTACTGATTGTTTTTAGTTTACTATGAACAATATTATCATTTAAGTTCTTATTTTTTGAATATGCAACTATCATTTTCTGCTTATAGACATGGGGGAATTTCTCTTGAAGGCTCTTATAGTGGGCATGAACTATCTTGCTTGCTCGATTGCTGGTTGTATTAAACGGGACAACAAAGGGTGCTATGCCTACATTATGATGAATATTTAGTCCTATAGGTCTTGCTGTATTCAATGTCTCAATCCAATGGGCCTCCCTAGATTGACGGAATTTGGTAGTTTCATCTTCGGGCAAGTCAATTTCTATACGCTCCATTGGGATTAGGGTGAGATCGTCTATTGAATGGTCGTCGAGGTTGAAATGATTAGAAACAGGCTTGTCTTTCTTTAATTTGATGTCTGACCTATGAGCATTAAAGCGAGTTCGTAAATTATTCTTAGTTTCTCCTACATATTGTTTGGGGCATTTCTTGCATGAAATTAAATATATTACATTCGAATGTTCACATGTTAGATGTTCCTG